TTCATTATAGGATTTCCGGTAAAAAAAAGGAGTGGAGGGACACTCGTGCCGCATGCGCAGCTAATGGACAAAAACAGTGCGAGACAGTTGCTGCACACGCATGGCGCGGGAATGCACTGCTAGGCTAAAAATCTTCGATCACCAAGGAGCACTGGTGATCTCGAAGAACCATTGTTACTGTACAAGGTAACTTCTTTCCAGCCCACCCCAGAGCAATGATTTGCATGTACATTTTATTTTCCAAAACACAATAATTACCTGAGTAACAGCAGTTAAAGTGCGCACGTGCACGTGTATGTACATGTGACAGAGAGAATTCTGAAATGCCATAATGATAAAAGATTTTTGCTTGATGGATTCTTTATGCTGGGAATGGGTGTTTTAGAGATTGATAACCTAAGGTAGGGTAGATAATCCATTCTGCCAGCGTTGCCTTTTTATTTCTTTTTTTTATGGTGTTATATTATGGTAGGTATCCAGAGGCTTTTTGGGTCCCTATTCATAAATAATATGGTTCAAGCTACATTTGAAAGAGCCTCTTGAAGTTATTCTGTCTCACGTAAATCACTGGCCCACCACAGTTTTCCATTGATTTGATCTGTAGTACTGCAATATCTTACTATATTTAGTTATTACCTCCAGGACGACATTCTAGAAGCTAAGGGAAATGACTATGATGAAGCACTAAGGAAAAGTAAATACAAACATTTTATACTCAATTTTTAAGTACACTTCACAGTGCTTCTTTTTCAAATTGCCATCTTAGATTTCAGTTAACTTTAACTGCAATGATCTGTGCTTGTGTAAGACTGCTAGTTCTGTTGCCTTACCCTTTATACACTGACACAAGAGGAATTTGCTGCTTTTTATAAATAAATTGGGGCCAAAGAGTAAATTCACCCTTTTTTAATATTCATGCCAGCTCAGCTTTAGGGGATTTGAGTGATGTAAGTGTATTGTACTGGGCCCCACAACTAGTACAACAGAAAAAATAATCTTCAAAGTGAATATTTTAGTGCTTCATGCAAGGCACACTGTTCAATGTCTGGGAAAAAAATAAATCTGCTCTTACATTTGTGAGCCACAGTCCATTGTTGTACGTGTTTTCTAAGCTCCAGTAGAAATCTTAAATGCATAACAAATAGACAGTACTGATGCCCACACCTTTGAAAAAAATGAAGTCTTATTCCTGATTATAATGAGCATGTTGTATCTGTTCATAGGATTAAATCCTTGAAAGAAAGGAGGGTACATAAAATCAGATTTCTAAAGGTTAAGTAGAGTTCATTGCATTTATTTTAAAATATTTCAGTATGAAACTCTGGTCTGCAAGAAAGTAGATTCAGGAAAACCAATTAGAAAGTTAACTAACAGCATAGAGTCTGACACTTTCTTTTAAATTTAGCTTGATCATCACACTATTGGCTGCACAATGAATTTCATTGTCTCGTCAGTTAGCAGCGGGGATATGTTTCAATAGGCTGTATGTATGTTTGTTTTTGCTTCTCATCTGGAATTGATACTACGGCTCCAGAGGGACAGGAAGAGTAAATTATCTCCCAGGATTCAGTCACCTAGGGTAGGGACCCTTGGGGAGGGTTAGGAAGACATTTAAATGTCCCTCATTCTGTTTCCTTGAAATTAGTCCTCCGAAGTAGCATCTTACTGTTGACATGCTGCTAGGATCTCTCCAGTTTGTCTGCTTTTGTTACCTCACTTGAAAAAGGTTCTAAAACACACAGGGACCCAGCAGAAATTGAGCTTATGATGCATTCCTGTAGAATCTCCCTGGGCTGGAAGAAGGGGGAATGATAAATGTGCTTCTCTCTTCTTTGAGCCTTCTCCTTCCCAAATTTCAACATGCAGATGGGTCCTCTCAGAGCATAGATTTCAGGGAGATGATTGGGCCAAATATGAAGGTATCTAGGCCCAATGCATCACACATCTGTCAATGCATCATTTATCTGTCACGTGTGTGGTAGTAGCAGAGTATTCTTGGCAACTGTACCACTCTCACAACATAAGTTCTGAGAAATTTGTCTGAGTTTTTATAATTGTAAACAGTATCAAATAGCATTAATTCCATAACTCCCAACTACTGTCAGATATGGTACAAATCAAAATCTAGACGTTTCCTATGCACATTGATTTTAGAGAGAGAAAATCATATGTAGGTTTTGTCTTGTTTATCTGTGTGTGCTCTTTTGAGAGACTGGTTTAGCAGTTTGAGCACAGAACTAGAAGTCTGGACTTCTGGGGTCTGTTCCCGCTAAATCACTGACTTGCTGTATCCCTGAATGCCTAACCTTGCTGTGGCTTAGGTTTCTTATCAGAAATATGGAGCTGTGTACATTCCCTACAGCAAAATTTTGAGAGTAATCCAGTAATGTTTGTAAAGTATTTTAAGACTCTTAGGTGGGAGCTATCCTAGAATTGAAAACTATTATGAATCCTTATTTTGTTTTTCTATCTGAAGTGTGGAATATGACTAAACAAAGAAAATACCATTAAGTATATGTCAATATAAAGAACTCTTAGTTTTATTGAAACATGAGAAAACTTTGCTAGTGTAAAATAATATTGTAAGCCTAAGTTGGCAAGATCATAGAGAGTAGGAATGTGAAAAGTTTACCTATTCCGGTTAACCGTTAACTGGTGGGGGCTGGAGCAGCTCCCTGCCTGCTGTAGGCAGGGGGCTGCTACAGCCCTGTGGGAGGGGGGCAGCCTCAAACAGGGCGGCATCCCACAGGCAGTGGCTGCTCTGGTGTCCGGAGCAGCCTCTGTCCACGGAAAACCCGGGTGCCTCATAGGCAGAGGCTACTCTGACGTCCAAAGCCAGACATCTGTGGCAAGCCTGGATGCCTTCGAAGCAGGAACTTCCCCAGGGGTTGCTTCAGCCTCTGTCCCCCCGACCCCCACCTGTGCTCCCTTTAATCAGATAACTGGTTAAACATAATGTTTAAGCGGTTAACCAATTAAATGGAATTTTACATTCCTAATAAAAAATTCAAAGGCAGGTGAGCCAACTTAATATGTACATAGTTTTAAAACTAACTGAGAAACAGCATTTAATTTTCATAGATTAAAATAAGAGACTGTTAAAGAAATAAAGCATGGTTTTCTATAATGAAAAAGCAGCTGGTACTGCTTGTTCATGAAAAGATCAAGCTACTGGTATGTGAGTGGGTTGGAAATGTGGTGCATTAAATTCATGTACAGGATTGCATCTTTACAGAGTTCATAAAAGGAAACTAGAAAATGGAAATGTTTTGGCATTGAGACTAAAGAATGTTTGCCTAAGGGTTATATGTACCAGTTAACAATATTCTGATGAGAGCGTGAAAAGGGTAAGGTGGTTAATAAAGAAAAATGGAAAAATTATTTTCACCAGGATATTTTCAATGTACTACCTGAGAAAATCCAACTAAACATAATTAAAACTAGCATGTCTATCTTTTTTGTTGTGTCCAGTTCCTTTTTCACATGGGGGAAAAATAGGTATGATCAGTATAAAGGTTTTACCAGTCTCCTTACATCTGAGTTGTCCTACAGTGGTACAGGTCTGCAGAAATACGGGATATTTCTTCAGCTCTATTTTTATTGGTACATCACCATTTAGTTTTTATGTGTATTTAGCCGTAACCTATAGCAGTTACTTGATCTTTTGAGGATAGAATCCTTTCCTGCTCCCTCAAATTGAGGAGATTTAGGGTGTGTTCTTTGTCAAAGTGTGCTGTGAAAGGAATAGAAGTAAATGTGAATGCAGCAACTTCCAGCATATCAGAATTGGCAACTCCCAAATCTTTATAAAAAGATAGCTTGTTGGTATATAGCTAGCTTGTTGCGTGGAGGGTGATAGGATAGACAACTTTGCTGATCTTTTCCAGATCTAATGTGACTGATTTCTGTTTTATATGGCAGTCATTTCAGTCAAGAAATGGTATATTCCATATAAGGGGTTATCCTTGCCTATAAAATAAAAATGTCAGCCAGAACCCCCTGTTAGATCCAGGCCTTGTTTTAACTGTTTTCTGTTACCATTTATGCCTCTCTATACTAAAATGTACATAATTCAATGTTCCTGTGATCTGGCTTTGACATTTAAAATGTAATATTCTTAAACATTTCCTATTAACTTAGTTTTCTTTCATTCAAAAGTGTGCATCAAAGTGTTTAAAAATTATTCACAAATTATGTCAGTGATGTCAGTACAGTAGCAGATGTGTATGGTTTTTTCTTATGTATCTGTTTACATATGTATATCTTGATAGTTTTTTTGCATCTTGATAATTTCTAAATTATTTTAAAAATAACAATGCAAACATGTACAGAATTCTAAAAATAGCGATTCATTGTTTGATATATTAAGATAAAGTGCCTTGCGGTAATAAAACTTGAAAATTTAACTCATCACTTCTGTAAATGCTGAATGGATGTCATAGTATTAAGGGTTTTCACTAGATTTGACTGTGAAGGCATCAGATGTCCCATTTTCCAGCACTTAACATTTCAATATATGCCAGGCTGTGAATAATCCTGTGTCTGCCTTAGTGGAGATGGTACAGGGGACATGATCCTGTTCAATTAATGGAACAATGTAGTCTGACAGCTTACATATCAGTGGAAAATACATTATAGCTATTAAGGGAAATGCTGTGGAAAAAGTTTTCTCTATCTATCTAATCACAATAAAGCTCCATGATTTAAACTGTCATGTCTTAGTTGACGGCTTTAAAGGTGATGTTGCTTTCATTATATCAATACTATGTTCAGGCTTGCTAAATTCAGTAAGAGAAAATGAAAATAATTCTATACTTTTTGCCCAGGTTACTGTTCTGTTCTTCAAAGTATTACTAAGGAAAGTTTGGCATAAGCTGGGACAGGAAATTGAAACCTGAATACTATTTTAAACTGATAGGGTTAAAGGCCTTTCTTTTACACCAGCACACTTGTTCTTTTATTTGATACTTGAACTCTAAAAAATTTCTGTGACTTTCTAGGGAGAAGGAGGAGCAGCTGACTCGGGTGACAGAGGTACAGAGGCTGCAGGCCCAGCAGGCAGATGCTGCCCTGGAGGAGTTTAAGCGGCAGGTGGAGCTGAACTCAGAAAAAGTCTATGCTGAAATGAAACAGCAGGTGAGAAGGTCACAATGCCAGCCTTTCTGAGACTCTCTGTCTCAGTAGGATAGCATATTCTGATCTTCTAATGCCAGAAACATGTTTCACTTGACAGTGCTACATCAAAATCTTTCACAATGTAGTGTCTTTGCTAGCAAGTCAGAGGGGGCTGTTAGCAGTTGATTCATCTTTATAACAAAGCCAGAATTGTCATTGTTATATAGCTATCTAAAGTTATGTTACTGATTAGCGATTTTCTGGGATTCTGAGTAAAACATAGTGGTTTATATACTTTTATGGAACAATGTCTGTACTTTCCTATTTTTTAACTTTGTCTCTTTGGTTATACTTTTAGGGACATACCACTCTCTTACCAGTGGGATTTTTGCCATAATTTCAAATAGAACAGAGCCAAGCTAATTCTGATTGTGGTCAGTGATACGCATTTGACTACAAAAGCCTTTTTCCCACTTGAAAATTACAATTAATGATAATTTATTTGCATGCTACTTAGCGTGCTAATCAATTTACAGAACAAATAAGATTAATATATTGGCCCCAATGAGCTTAGAGATATTACACATCAGAATAATGAACAATAAAATGGAAAGGGATGAGAAAAAAGAAAGAAACAGATACATTGATGGTCTGCTAATATGATAAAAATGCTTATAGTATCTTTGTCTAGTGCATTTACCTGATTCTGCCAGCCAGCTTGCCTCTTCAATAGGAAAATGCACTTGTTTTTTATTACAGGACTATATAATATATATTATGATATTATAATGGATGCAAGAAGAAACTTCTGGTAAAGCATCTTGGTGAACACTTCTATAAAACAGAGAATGTTTCAGTTCTAAAGTTTTGCTCTTGCACTGGGGAGCACTAAAAATAGTAGAAGATGTGATACTATTGCAGTTGCCACTTCTGGCTATCACCAGATCTCTGTAAAATATTTATTCTTCTCTGAGTGGTTGCTCATGTGCACTGCAGCAGGTGTGTGTGTGTGCGTGCGTGTGCGCGCGCGCACTTGCAAAATCATTGGAAAGTTTTTACCCTAGCGGTATCTTTCCTGTTGACTGTGAAGTCCCCTGGAGTGGCACCGCTGTGGCAATTCATATAGGACCTGCCCTCCTTCCCCCCCAGGTTCCTTCGTACCACCCGTGAAGGTTGTTGGAACAGCTTCTGTCTCTTGCTTTGCAAAAGTCTCGGTTCTGTTGTGTGGTAATTTTGGAAAAGAAGTAAAAAAATTATAAATACTTAAAGATAACTGAAGTGAAATGTAGCATAAACATAATTGAGATAAATACTATAGGGATATATACATTTTATACAGAAATCTTTAACTTTTACATTTATGTTAATGATGACACACATGAACCAAATATTGGCAAGGAAAAAAAAGCAGTAGTGCTAGAAATTTGCCTGCTTATTTTGTTGAAAAGAATGAAAGCCTTTCAACTTTGCATGCAATCTATATTGTTAACAATTGTTTTTGTTGTGAAATGCTGGTTTTGCTTCTTTCATAACCTTCAATGTAAAAGCAGCAGAACTATAGGGGAATCTGCTCTTTTAGAAGTCTTGTACAGAGAACGGATAATGGAATTTTGAAATAAAAAAAGCTGTGAATCTGTTTTGAAAAGCAACTTTTATTTTACAAACTAGACCCACGAGGGAAATAAAACAGGCCCTAAAATTTCAAAGTCGCTCTCTCTTACATTTTTCTCTAATCTGAATCTCTCCTTCAGCTTTTCCACGTGAGAAATGTATTTATATTCTCATTGAAGGTATGGTTTCATTGAGCCAAAAACACTGGGCTCATGATTTAATAGTTTTCAAGAAAAAAGATTGTGCAAAATAATCCTGAAAATATATTTAGGTATGAAGATATTTGGTAAGTTTTTTTTATTTGCTTAAAAAAATAAACACAAATTGTACATTTAAAATATATATATTTTACTGAATTCTATAAAAATGCCATGTGGTGGTTTTTTTCCCTTTTCTAAGTGCTGAATACCATTCTGGTTGTGTGTTAAATACAGAAAGCCAAACTGTTCTTTAATTCCACTTCATTCATTCATGCCCCAGTCCAGGTTTCTGATAACGTCAGCTTTATCCAAAGCATGAATGTGAAGACCAAGACTATTACAGCCAAAAAATCAGTTCATGGAGGGTAGTACTATGAGTAGCTATTAGCCAAGATGGGCAGGGATATAAAACCATGACCTGGAGTGTCCCTAGTCTCTGTTTGCCAAAAGCAAATGGGAATGATTGACAGTAGGGATGTAAAATATTGTTTAACCAATTAACTGATTAAAGGGATTCTGCTGCTGGGCTGGAATTCCTCCCACTACCATAGACAGGACCTGCTCCAGCCCGACCAGAGCAGCTGCTGCCTGTGGCCTTCCGCTGTGGGCAGGAGCTGCACCAATCAGAATGCCAGAGCAGCCCCTGCCTGTGGTGGGGCTAGAGGAACCTCTGGCCAGCAGCAGGTGAAAAGCTGCTCCAGCCCCACCAGTTAACCTTAACCTTAATAAGCTTCACCTATTAACCTTCACATTTCTAGTTGACGGGGTGATCACTTGATGATTATCTGTTTTGTTCATTCCCTCTGGCCACTGTTGAAGGGTAGTAGGTAAGTGGGCTGGATAGACCATTTTTCTGTCCCAGTATGGCTATTCTAATATTCTTATTGAATTGTAGTGAAAGGGACTGTCATTTGACCATCACACAGTGTTTTGTGTGATCTAAATGGAACTGGTGGGTAGTGCTCAACAATTGACTGGTTTTGATCATAAACAAATATCATGATATGAAACAATAGTGGAGAAATACAGAAGCTATCCAACACAGTAAAATATTTGTGATTTATTTTAATTCACCAAAGAGATAAAATGCTAATGACCAAATTTCAAAGGCACTTCCTGATTGGTACTGCAGAACCCTATATTCATGTAGACAAACAGTCAAATACACATATTTTCTGCTATTTTCTGCAGTTGCTAGTTTTAAACTGAGTCATTTGGTTTGCTTCATTGAAAATGTGACTGTATATCTTATTTGCTGTATAGCAGGCTGCCCTAGTTATCATCATCATTGTGGTCTTCTTTTTCTTTCTTATTTGTATTACCGTTTCACCCAGGGAGCTGAAACAGAATTGAAGCTGTCTGTATTAGGAGTTGAACAAATATATAGGAAAACCTTGCCTTGTCCTGAGGAGCTTACAGTTTGTGGCATGTAGATAATGGCTTCTGCTCAGTATTAATCTTATTTTCTTGACAAAGAAAGAACTACTCGGCTACTAAATCCTCTTCCTTCCCTGCCTTTGATAACTGCATTTGACTTATAGCTTAGGAAGTGTCACTAATCTAGTGATAGCTACTGTTCTTTCATTGTACTTATGCTGTCACTGTGTAGACCTATTTTGGAGAAGATATTCCTCACCTGAAACACACTCAACAGACTATGGAACTTTGGGCATACAGAATTCCCTACCTCTGGTACATAAAACACCACCACCTAAGCACAACAAGGCTGTTAAATTACATTATTATGAGAAAAATCCATCACAAGTGAGAAATTTCAAAACAAATGCTTATACAGCATTATTTTGCTTATCATTGTGCTTGGGTATTAAAAGCGTTTCAGTGCAGTATTTTACGATGTGCTGTTGTACTCAGGGCTAGGAATATTAGTTAAAATTAGCTATAATTTTAAATCTCCATGCTCTTATTAGTTCCTATCGGAATCTTTGTTTAATTTTTTAAAAACAACGAATAGTTCTGCAGCACCTTAGAGACTAACAACTTATTTGTACCCTGGACCCATTACTCCATTCATCTGAAGAAGTGAGTTTTGCCCATGAAAGCTCAATATACCAGCTACATTTTTTGTCTTTAAGGTGCTGCAGACTTATTTGTTGTTTTCTAAGTTTGTTTGTTACAGACTAACACGGCTACCCCTCTGAGATATTTAATTTTTGTGTGTTTTGCATAGTGACTTGGATTATTATTTCCATCACCATTGTATTATATTTTAGTTTCATTGCACTCGACACACTGAGGTTAAGCAATGAAAACCTGTAAGAGTGAAAGACTGTGAAAAACAATATGCTAATTTAAATAAATTAGTTCATAGCTGAGAATTTAACTTTTTAACATGTATTAAATGTTCAAATTTTTTGTTTGACTGACCGACCATTAAACATTTTCTCTGTATATATATTTTATATACTATTCATTTAAGGCAGAATTCTGATATCCTGATACTCATGTTGACTTGTTTTATGGCCTGCGTCTGTGTCTTCAGTAAGTAGTAAGGTGCTATTCAACTTAAATAAAAGTATCAGGATACGGCCCTTCATGTTAAAACTTAAAACTTACTGAAGCAAATTTTGCAGTCAGTTAAACCAATGTAAATCTGGACTGACACCATTGCACCTCCGCTATTGGAACCATTTGGGGTCAGCAAGGTAGGCGAAGGGGGATGTCGTGCACTTTTTATTCCTATTGATTTTGTGAGAGTTGTAGGTTATCAATATCTATTTATGTCAGGCACCCGATGAACAAATAGGCACATTAAGTGCTGATAGTATCATCTTAGTTGGAGATAGTCAACTGCAATCAATAAGTTTATTATAAAATTTTAGTATTATGCAAATTATTTGGTATGTGAGATAGGTGCTATGCTTGTCTGAGTTAATGACTATGGAACATAAGAATGGCCATACTGGGTCAGATCAAAGCTAATGCCAGATGCCCCAGAGGGAGTGAACACAACAAGTAATCATCACGTGATCCATCTCCTGTCATCCATTTCCAGATAAACAGAGGCTAAGGACACCATTCCAACCCATCCTGGCTAATAGCCATTGATAGACCTAACCTCCATGAATTTATCTAGCTGTTTTCTGAACCCTGTCAAAGTCCTAGTCTTCACAACATCCTCTGGCAAGGGGTTCCACAGATTGACTGTGCACTGCATGAAGAAAAACTTCCTTTTGTTTGTTTTAAACCTGCTGACTATTAATTTCATTTGATGGCCCTAGTTCTTATATTATGGGAACAAGTACAGTAGACTTCCGATAATCTGGCACCTTTGGGACCTAGGTGGTGCTGGATTATCGGATACGCTGGAGTATCAGGAGGGACTGCATACTCCCAACCCAATCCTCCTCTCTTCCCCTCCAACCTTATGCTCAGGCCCCGGAGCTGCCAGTACAGCTGCACATCTCCCTCCAGGCACTGGGGCATGTGTGCTGAGCAGCCAGCTTTTCAATGAGCTGGCTGGGACGCCGTGTGTAACCCAATCCCCTCCCCAGAGCAAAACACCCCCCCTCCCTGCTGTAACCCAATCTCCCTCCCCTTCCCCTTTTCCGAAGCCAAACACCTCTTCTCCCTGCTGTAACCCGATCCCACTCTCCCCCCCCCCCCCCCCCCCCCCCCCCGCATCCCCCTTCTGTTCTGTAATGTGATTTGTCCTTTTCATATGTCAGCCGCGCGTCTCCCTCTAGGCACTGGGGCACATGCACTGAGCGGCTGGCTTTTCAGTGAGCTGGCTGGGACGCCGTACGTAACCCAATTCTCCTCCCCATCCTTCCCCTTTCCTGGAGCCAAACACCTCCCCTTGCTGCTGTAACCCACGTGAGAGTGACTGATCTGAGCAGTTCCGGGTTCCATCCCGGTTCCGTCAGGAGCGCTTGCTATTTTGATGCCAGACTATCGGGAGTGCTGGACAATTGGGTGCTGGACTATTGGAGTTTTACTGTAAATAATTATTCACTTTTTTCATACAAGAATGGTTTAGGAGAAGATTATTGGCAGTTTTTTGTTTAAAGCAGAAATTTTTAATATGCTTTATTAAATTGATAATTTTGAAAGAAATCAATAACATAAGTGCCCAGTTATCTTTGGTGATATTTTTTCTGTGAAGGATTGACAAGAAAGAAACAGAATATAGGGGTGTATTTCAAATGGTCTTATTATCACTTAGAAATAATTTAAGGGTGGAGGGTATGACACTGATGTTACATCTGTTAAGAATCTTCTTCGGATTTATTGTTTCATGAGACCCTCATTGTGCCAAGCTTTTTATGACCATATAGATGAGTAAAAACAAGTACAAATCCCCCTTTCATATTGGCATATTGTACATATGCCACGTACAATCTGCAGGAATTGCAACTCTGACATTGTGGGGAGAACAAAGGGCTGTGCGCCAAATGCCTCCCACCAGAGCAACTGGGCCAAGAGGGAGGGGGCAATAGACGGAACAGTGATTTCTCCTCTGTGAGCTCAAGCCAATGGATTTGACTGGCCACTTGGAGAGAATTATGGTGCACCCCTCAAAGGTTATGTCACAAATTGCTCTCCAGTGTACACAGCTTGCTGCAACTCTTTGCAGCAAGCCTCCCAACCCAGGTAGACGCTCTGGGTTTGCAGGGTGTGAACAACTGCTTTAAAAATAAACATTTAGATGGCACTTGGAAGTGCATCTTGGGCTGGATATCAGAGCTTTGAAGACCATTTGCTTCCACAGACTGCAGAGCTTGACCACCAGCCTCCAGCAAAGTCTGCTTGGCTTTTGTAGTGTTGTAGAGTGACCCTGAGTCTCTCAACCCTGGTAGGGAGGCTGCTGCTGTACGCTAGTGCTTCTGAAGCCCAATACTACCTCTTATTCTGATGTGTTCAAGTAGCACAATCTATCCCTGGGTTTCTAAGATAGCTCATCATAGGATTAATTATAGCACATTTACTCAAGTTGATGAATTCCTTTATTTTCAGTGGAGCTACTTTCAGAGTAACATGTTACCTAATGTGAAAAGTGTGGCAGAATTGGGTCCTATATGTTCATCCGAGAAAATGGAAATGTCAATTGCACACTCCTCCTTGTCAGAGAAAATCAAGTTTGTGCTTTCCCTTTATTAATCATATAGCAAAATTATCTATATAGCAAGTATTTCAAGGCTATTGCTTTTCAGCGAAGACATGTCAAACCATGTTGTAAATGTTTATGTTGTGTTGCAATCAGTACATGCCTTCTAAACACTTATCTAGCAATTCAGAACATAGTTCCTGAGAGGTACTGAACTCTTAAAACTCTCATTGACTTCAGCGAGGTCTGCAAGTGATCAGCACCTCTCTGAGTCAGGTTCATAAAGAGCAAATGATAATATAAGACAATGTAGGAAATAACACTACAGTGACTAAGTTTCAAGTGATTACTTCAGAGAAACAATACTGAAGCTCTGTTTGTACCCATCCTTTCTCATTTTTCCTCCACTCGTGCTCCCAATTCTTAGATAAGCTACATATGTTCTTCTAGAGACAATGTGATACAATATTGGAGCAAATGCCATTGCTTTTTCATAGTTGGGTAGAGCATAGAATGACCTATTGACATCATAAAGTGAAATCTTTAGTAACTATAGCAACACTGGACTCTGAACTTCACAGCAAATATTAAACTTTTTAAATTCTTTTTTCATTGTAACATTAAGGAAGTTACAAATGGACTGGGGTCTGGTATTATCAGTTAGTATAATCAATATTTGGTTTATTTATTAATGTAATTTATGATTTTGTGATATTTACTTGCCATCTGCTTCTTATTTTTCAATAAGCTCATGATTATTAAGTCATCTGATGTCCATTAGATGGGTGACTGAAATAATTTCAACTTTAAGCTCAGTTTTGTTTTTTCCTGATGTAGGTGCCTATCCTGTTATAAAACTTCTTTTATTATTGTTTATTTGGGTATACATATACTGGTATTTTCATGAGTGCTGCTTCGAGTGTTGGCCAATTGATTTTAATAGCCTACACTGCATGGTACATCAAAGCAAAGAGAGAAAAATCAGACTAGCTTATAAAACTCTAGATTAAAAGCACTGTATACACATCACTCACAAAAGAAAAGTATTTACAAAGCCAAATAGTAACTGCCAAAAATGAATAAACAGAATATGTGACAATATTTTGGCTCTAGTATTTGTTGAGCTTGGCGAATGAGAATCAGAAAACCTCATTGCACTTATGGCCAATATGCATTTTCTGTGCTAGAGATTGAGTAACAGAAACATACTGTTTTATCTGTAGAGTTTATATAATATATTACTGTATTTGTAAAAATTGACACAGAAAATGTATACAATATTTTCAGTATTAAAAGATGATTCTTTTAATATTTTGAACTTTATTTTGCCTAAGTTCTTCATTTTTAAGTGTAGTTGGAGAAAACTAAGGGGCCTCCCTTTCTTTGATGTATGAGATGTGGAAACGATGGGCTTCAAGGAGAGGGCTCAACTGGACTGAGAGGAGTGAGAAGGTGATGATAGTAGCAGAGGCCACTTTTTTAAGGGCTTATTTGGGGAGGACATGAAAGAGAGGCATGGGCTGTTTCTGATCTACCTGCAGCTGAGTGACCTTTAGTCACTCCTCAGGGCTCTAGTTTATCCCCTTCCTATATCTGGGAAAACAATTCCCAGCCATGCATTTTCCCCTTAACCGGAGATCGCTTTTAATTACCTTCCCCATGATTAGTGATCATTTTCCTCCTCTTTATCTGGCTTAGAAGTGTTATTTGAGCTATTGACAAATACATCTATGGGCATTCTTTTAGGCCACATAGGATTTTACCTTGGGGAGTACAGATATTCATTGTTTTTCTTCTTTTGGTATAATCAAGAGACTTGCAGTGGAAAGTGGATTCCTGACAGTTAAACTCCCCTTCCTTCTTCTGCTCCCTTTAGGGAGGTACTGCTACTTAGCTTGAGACCTAGATCTTAAATGGATTTGGTGGGTAAAAAGTGAGGTGTCATACGAACATAAACCCTTGAAATACAACGGAGTTGACAGTTGTGCTTTTGATACAAAAGCCTTTGTTATCTGAGTTATGAAATTGCTTCCTTGATACCATATAAGGGAATATGTGTGACTCTTTATTCATAGGCAATGACTGTGTTCAGACAACTTGCTGCCAAATAATTCTCTTTTAAGGTTTTTCCCTGATTTTAAGATACATTTATTTTAAATGTGTGGTTTTTCAATCAACTTGGAGCATTACTTTCCAAAAATTTCCACAAACTATATTTTAAATAAATAATCTTAGTGGTGTGTGTAAATCTAATATTCCATTGATTTTTGTGGAATATTACAACTATTGAATGAAAAATAAGACCTTGCATTCTAATTGGGAATATAGGTGATATATCTGTGTAACTAACTAATGATCTTCAACATACTGATATGTTCATTTCCACTCCTTACAAATGACGAGTTTTTATTATTGACAATTATCTTCAGGTTGTTGAATAGCTTTCAAAAATGTGTCACAATGTGTTTGGAACTATGCACTTAAAAAGTAAATATCGCTTTGTTTATCTTGTAGATGGAAAAAGTGGAATCAGATCTAAGCAGATCAAAATCTCTTCGTGAAAAGCAGTCCAAAGAATTTTCTTGGCAATTGGAAGAACTCAAACAAAGATATGAGCAACAGGTCAGTCTGCCATTTTTATTTGGTAAGACAAGGTGTGTGAGGTAATATTTTTATTGGACCACCTAGTGGTGGCAAAAGAGACAAGCATTCAAGAGATGAGTTACAAATAGCTAAAAATAAAAGCGCTAGTCCAATAAAAGATACTATCTCACCCACTTTTGTGTGTCTAATATCCTGAGACCAGCACAGTTACAATTATATTGTTGACATTTTTACTTGGTGGTATTTGTCTTTTCAGGGTACGTTAGCTCCAGTATCCAGACTAGTCTTGGTCTGACTTGTTCATTACGTTGGCATTCATTCTTTTCTGTCAAAGCAGACCCCTCTGTTTCCAAAACCATGTTTTAAATAGAAAAACTCCTTGTTTCTACTCTGCTATATCTGGGCACTATTTCCTAAAGGGTTCTCAGTCTGACAAAGAAAAGAATGCATTTAATCTATTCTTACTTACATTTTTTTCCTTTATTGGCACAATCTTTGTTTTTATAAGAGTCATCTTTAAGTGGTTTTGATAGACTATCATTTTAAAGATTCAACGAGCCTTTCCAGCAATGTTCCCTGTGAGCTGGGCACTTGTGCAGCCACTGAGGAGAAATTCATATGCTGCCCAGCTGATTAGCAGAGTGCTTACAGCTAGGTTTTGTATTTCCACAGGTGGTGCACATTCTCACATGCCTTGTCGCATGTAACATTATTAAAAAGCCACACATCGATGGAAAAAATTAGAGGGAACATTGCCTTCCAGTGCTTTAATTTTGATATGCAGAAGTAGAGGAGAGTAGGGATGTTAAGAAGTGGTAGAGAGGTGAAGAGCAGGGATGTTATTTCACTAATTGTGTAGCCAATAACATTTTTGTCAACTTCACGATTAGTCAATGAGGGAAAGTGCTCAGTCCCAGCTCACGCCAGATCCAAGAGCTACCTTCACTGTGGCTCTGCAGTTTAATCTGCTGCCTGCCCACCTGGTTCTTACTACATTTAAACTGCAGAGCCTCGGCAGGGGTAGGTCCCAGACCCGGTAGAAGCTGGCACTGAGCCACGCTTGCTCAGTCCCAGCTCGTGCCAGGTCCAGCAGCCCCTGTCTGTGGGGTATCTCAGCAGGGAACTGGGACCCCTCACAGACAGGGACTTGAGCCTGCCTCAGGCAAAGGCTGCTTCACGCACCCCCCATATCCTCATGCTATTAGAAGCAGCAGTGAGGGGGCAGGTGGTGCTGTGGAGACAGTGCTGGGGGGAGCTGGCTTTTAAGCCAGCTCCCCCCAGCACTCGTTCCTGTTCCCCTCCACCCCCACTGCCTCTGATACAGAGATAGCAAGGTAGGGGAATGTGAGTAGTCTACTCGACTACCTGATGACTGCCCGCTTGCATCCCTAGTGAAGAGTCAAGTATTGAAGAGCCCTTTGTTATTTGCATTGCCTCTCTATGTCTAGAAGATTTCTGTGTTAGGCAGTTCAGGAATGGGATAGCTTTCCTAAGCCCTGAAAGAAGGTCCTCTCCAGAGCTTGGGTGGAAGAGTAATGCATGCGATATGTCACTTAGAAGGTAAATTGAATTAAAGAGACTAGCTAGTTTCAAATCAGAGTTTGACACATCTCCTTATAAAGTTGTCATGGTTACCAATCGTGACGTCGGTATCTATACTGTGAAGGGTCTGACTGACACATAATGTAACTATAGTAGCATACAGATATTAAGGCTTTGTATTGCCACGTTGGAACAATTATAGCTATATTTTTTATTTTAGCAGTGGTTTGGGAATAGTGAAGGTTCCATTTTTCTTAATTCAAATTTTATGTCACAGCTAGACTCCTGGGTATATAGTGCCCTTCGATAAGAGGATAGTTATGATTCCTGTTCATGATGATTTAGTAAAAGCTACCTGTAGGAAATGTCAATTGCTAGACAAGCATGGGAATAAGCTTTAATTATTGTTTTACAAGTGCAAAGACCATTGCAGAGGTTACTTGGGTTGGTGGGGAAAATCTTGATCAAATGATTAAGGAGGTTATACAGATAAAAGAGAGAGCAAGAAAGTTTGCATGCACCAAAGCCTAGTATGGAGTAAATTAGTGTATGTAGACTAGGAGTGTTAAATATCAGTTAATTGAATAGTCGATTAACCTCTTGAATTCTTATCGATTACTCAACTATTCTGTAGTCGCTGGGGCTGGCAGCCAGTGCACTCCGGCCCACTCCCGAGGAGCTCTGCCACTCTGTGCTGCTGCCTCTGTATCAGAGGCAGCAGCATGGGGTGCCAGGTGGGAGCTGGTCTGCAAGGGGAGCCAGTTTAAAAACCAACTCCCCTCGTGGACAGTCTGCCTGTCACCCATGCTGCTGCTTCTGCCTATGATTCTTGGAGTATTATGTGGGGTTTTGGAACTAATATCTCATTACAGAGCATGGTGATTTCTTTGAGTAAATAGTATGCTCCCCAGTATGTGTTAAATGGACCAGATCCTTTTTTTTTTTTAATAAGTATCTGGCGATGGAAAGCAATATTTAAATAACAAATCAGAAGACCATTAATCATTTAAATAAGTTGGCAAAAAGAACTGAGATCTTCCACAGTGGTTACCACATGTTTTACTGTTTTCATGATTTAACCTAACACTGGCAGTAGACATCTTGGTGAAAAGCAACATTAATTTCCAGAGTACTAATATTGAAGTCCAGTTTAATTGCAGATCAGAGTTTATCTTGCTTTCATACTAGCTTAGCACTCAAATCACTAATTAATCATTTACTAATTTAAATTGCTTTTTAGTTTCCATTTTGAAGTTCATATTAAAATGGGGAAAATGAGTTCTGAATCCCAAAGATTGTAGTCTGATATGTTAGTATTAGTAAATTGTGCTTCACGTAAGTGGCTCAGAAATGCCAAAGATACATGAAAAAGTTTTTTAATTTTTTTAATTAATATTTTGGGGCAGATTCTGTGTTCATCCACAGCACAGCACATCACAGGAATAGAGTAGGGGCCAAAGGTGGCTTTAAGTCCCCTGTTGTGTCTCCCCAACTTTGCAATCTAAGGGTAGGTCTACACTTCAGAGTTTTGTCAGTAAAACGGCCATTTTTCCAACAAAACTTGAGGAACATCCAAACTTCAGTTGTGTTGTTCTGCAAGAAAATCGAAAAAACAGAGGGTTTTTTCTGGCATTGGTCAATCCTCATTTTATGAGGAAGAAGCGTTTTTGTGAAAGAGCTCTTTCGCAAAATGGCGTGTGTAGACAGGGACGAGGGAGTTCTTTCGGAAGAAGAGTAAGGAGGTAAAAGCACAGGTGCCCTGGTAGCCATTCTGTTCATAGCAATCAAAGCTTACATGCGAGAGAGCGTCCATTCAGTCTGGACGCTCTCTTTCGAAAAAGTAGATCGCTTTTTCAATTCACTTTTGCAGTATGGATGCTCTCTTTTGGAAGAAGTTTTTCCAGAAAGAATCCTGTAGTCTAGACGTAGCCTAAGTGGCCTGTTTGGCCCCCAGTGTAAATTAGGGAAGTGTGAAGATGTAATGCTCCAACTTATGCTCAACTGGAACAGCCCAGAATAACTATGCTCTCTTTTCACAGATTCATAGGGTTGGAAGAGACTTCAGGAAGTCATTGAATCCAACCTCTCCTCCCCTCCCCTTTTTTTAAACTAAATTTCACAGCAGATTTTATTGGCAAAATAATCTGAAATCTCTTTGGACTAGATGTTATAAAAAGCACCAAGAGGCACCCAGAAAGCATAATATTACTTACAGTACTTTGGAAAAACAACGAATAGTCTAGCAGCATCTTGAAGATTAACAAAACATGTAGATGGTATCATGAGCTTTAGAAATGGGTTGGACCCACGAAAACTCATGATACCATCTACATGTTTTGTTAGTCTTTAAGGTGCTGCTAGACTATTCATTGTTTTTTTTAAGTTTTTCCAGTTACAGACTAACTCAGCTACCCTAGTTCTTTGGAACTTCCTATAAATTCTGTGCATGAGTGAGCCTCAGCTCATTGTTAGTGTAGCAGACTGTACCGTAGGTGGGATGTGTGTCTTCAAGAGTACAGTGCTATTATTTAGAAAGCACCCAATTTAATGTTGCTTTTCCACAAATAATTTGTTCTGCCTTGACTTGCTCTCTTTAGTCCAGTTTAACAGGACTGGCCCATCTCCTTTATATGCCTTTCCTCTCTTCTTTCGTAAATCAGTGGCCTTTTCCTACCTTAATATACTTCCCAACATACTGCTTCCATTAGATATGATTGCTATAAATCCTTTCCAATATGTTTGCTCAACCAGGCCACAAGTATTTTGGGGGATGGTTTCAGCAGTTATAATGACCTCTGTACATCATCGGAATGATGTAAAGAAGCTGCAATGATTTTTTTTTCTTTTGTGCATTTTAGATGTGGGAAAGATGCTTCTTAGCATGTGGCCTTTTCAGAACATTGTGCTTAGCAAAAATTGATGCATTTTTTTTTACACTTTCCTATCAGATTAGTGTTATGTGCCTGGTGGACTCTGCCATATGTAATTCCTCAGGCTCCCACCATCAGCGGTGGGTGAAGCTGCTGTTTGGGGAAGCAAGCTCCCCAGCTCACCTCTTCTTCCTGTGGCTCTGCCAATATTGCGTCCCTACTCTGCCCCCACTCTACCCAGCCCCTATTTTCTCCCCACTGTTTCCCTCTTCCCTTCCCTCCCATTACTTGCTCACCCCCTTCCAGCCAAATCCCTGTACCCAAATGAAGCAAATGATATTTGAAAAAAAAATCTACATTTTCTTTCTAAAGAAATGGAGCATGTTTTCCACTTCATGCCAGATGGTGGAGACTGGACCTGCAGAAGGTACCTATTTAAAAGCATTACGTTTGGAAATAAAAAATGTCAGTCACAGGTTTTATGATATGCCCTGAAGTTTGTCAGAGATTTATGTGCAAAAACGTTGGAGTAAGGGCGAGCCAGTTATCCTACTGAATACAACATTAATTATTATGGAATATGTGATGCAGCTCTTCTCTGTTTTA